CTCTTTTCATCCAGGTTGGAGTGCAATGTGCAATTTCGGTTCACTGCAACCTTTGCCTCCCGGGTTCAAGTGATTCTTCTGCCTCAGCCTCCCAAGTAGCTGGGATTACAGGCATATGCCACCATGCCCGGCTAATTTTTTGCATTTTTAGTAGAGAGAGGGTTTCTCCATGTTGGTCAGGCTAGTTTGGAACCCCCAACCTCAGGTGATCTGCCAGCCTCGGCCTCCCAAAGTGCTGGGATTACAGGCATGAGCTACCGTGCCCAGCCAAACCACTGTAATTTTTACATTAATACATACAAATGGGGAGAAAAACAAAACACCTTTCTTAATTATATATATTACATGCTGCACTTCATTTTTAGAAAGTCTTTATATTTAATAAATAGTAATTATAATATATAAAAATCTATATTTATACAACAAAATATGGGGATAGCATGACTTTAAAGAAGATGAATAATTTTATTAAGGGATTTAGCACAAACTTCTTTGGTGATAATGATCATAGAACTATTAAATCTTTAACGATGATGATGATGATGATGGCAATAAATAGCAACAACTAATGTTTATGGTGATTACTTTGTGCCAGACACTGTTTTAAGCATTTCTCCATTTTTGAATCCACTCAACAACCAAATGAGATAAGCATTTTTATTATCCCTATTTTACAGAGAAGAAACTGAGACAATGAACCTACAATGATACACCCCAAATCACACAGTGAATTCTCAGAGCACTTCTAACTACTATACTGCCTATGATTAAGTTGATTGAAATTTGCTTTAAATTTGATATTTTAGGAACACACTTAAAACATAAAGCAAGGCATTTCTGTCCTCTACATGTTTCTTAAATGATCTCTAGAAAAATCATGTAAGTCCAAACTGACTTATTATTATTATTTTGGAAGAGAATGTATAGCATGTAGACTGAAACTAGATTGTAGGATATGGTTTCTTTAGTTTACACTCAACCTTTGTGCTCATTTTAAAACCATTTTTATCTTTTTCAAATGAAAACACAGACATCTTCGCCAAGGCCCTATTTTTTAAAATTGTGGTAAAATATGCATAACATAAAATTGACTGTTTTAATCATTTTAAAGCATATTATTCAGTAGCAATAAGTACATTAACATTGTTATGCAACCATCATCATTGTCTATCTCCAAAACATTGTCATTCCAAACAAAAACTCTGCACTCATTAAAAAAAGGATAGTTCCCATCTCATTCCCACTTCCTCTGGCCTCTGGTAACCTCTATTATACTTTTTGTCTGTATGAATTTGTCTATTCTTGGTACCTCATATAAGTGGAATCAGACACTATTTGTCCTTTTGTGTCTGGCTTATTTCACTTAGCATAATATTTTCAAGGTTCATCCATGTTGTAACATATAACAGAATTTCATTCCTTTCGAAGGCTGAATAACATTCTATTGTATGTATATACCACATTTTGTTTATCTGTTCATCTATTTATCGACATTTGGGTTTTTTATCCCTTTTGGCTATTGTAATAATGCTTCCCATAAACACTGATATACAAGTATTTATTTGAATCCCTGCTTTCAATTGTTTTGGGTATATACCTAGATGTATATATAGCTTTATACATACATAGATATATACATATACATAGATATACCCACACACACAACTTTTTAAAAAGTTATTTAACCACCAAACTATTCTGTGCAATTGTTGTACCATTTTACATTCCCACCAGCTATGCACAGGGCTTTCAATTTTCCTCATCTTTGAGAACACTTGTTATTTTCCTTTTATTTTTAAAATAGCCATCTAATGGATGTAAAGTTCTGGGGTGCTTTCCAAAACTAACAACCAGTTCTCCAATTCTTCAGACACTAATTTGGATGTCCAACAATTAAAGTCAATTCTGACACTGCCTGAAATTAGCATCAGATTCCACAGATAAATGGGTTCAGTACCCACTTCAGATGCCAATTGCAAGTCCGAGGCCATCTGTAATTCTGACCAATGAACTACAAGTGGTAGGTTCCCATGACGCTGCCCTCATGTTCAACAGTTTGCTAGAATGGCTTACAGAACTCAGGGAAACACTTTATTTATGTTTACTAGTTTATTATTACTAGTACTTGTGTTTACTAGTTTATTATAACTTAGGAACAGACCATTGAAAGAGATGCACAGGGCAAAGTACGGGGAGTGTAGTGCAGAGCTCCCATGCCCTACTGGGCGTATCACCTTCCCAGCAAGTTAATGTGTTCACCAAACAGAAAACTCTCTAAATCTCACTGTTCAAGAATTTTTACAGAGCTCCATCTCCAGGGCCTGCCCTCCCCTAATCCCAGGGGTCAGTAGGTGGGATTGAAAGTCTCAATCCTCTAATTACTTGGTCTTTCTGGGGACCAGCTCCATCCTGAGGCTCATTAGGGGCCCCACTCTAAAAAAACCTTATTAACATAAACTCAGGTGTTATTGAAAAGAGTTCATTATAAACAACAAAAGACACTCCTTTCACTTAGAAAATTCCAAGAGTCTTAGGAACCCTGTGCCAGGAACCAGAGATAATGCAAATATAGTTTTGCATTATACCACAGAATTGGTACCTCCTGGTGGTTTTGATTTGCATTTACCCAACGACTATTGATTTGGGGGCATTTTCTCTTCTCTTTCCTTTTTTTTTTTTTTTGAGACAGGGTCTCACTCTGTCACCCAGGCTAGAATGCAGTGGTGTGATCATGGCTCACCACAACTTCAACTTCCTGGGCTCAAGTGATGCTCCTGCTTCAGCCTCCTAAATAGCTAGGACTACAAATGTGTGCCACCACTCCTGGCTAATTTTTAGAAAATTTTTTTGTAGAGATCATGTCTATGTTTCCCAGGCTGGTCTTGAACTGCTGGACTCAAGCAATCCTCACACCTCAACCTCCCAAAGTGTTGGGATTACAGGCATGAACCACTGTGCCCAGCCAGAATCTTTTTATTCATTGGCCATTTCTGTATCTTTGGAGAAATGTTTATTCAAGTCCTTTGCCCATTCTTTAAACTGGGTTGCTGGTTCTTCTACTGTCGAGTCACTGGAGTTCTTTATATACTCTGGATATTAATCCCTTATCAGATATATGGTTTGCAAATATTTTATCATATTCCTTGGGCTGCTTCTTCATTTTCTTCATAGTGTTCTTTGATGCACAGAGAATTTTTAATATTCAGAGAGTTCAATTTATCTATTTTTTTCTCTTGTTGACTGTGCTTTCGGTGTCATTCCAAGAAATCATTGCCAAATCCAATGTCATGAAGGATTTTCTCCTATGTGTTCTTCTAAGAGTTTTATAGTTTTAGCTCTTTTGTTTAGATATTTGCTCCCATTTTCAGTTACTTTTTGTATGTAATATAAGGTAAGGGTTCAACATCATTCTGTGGCATGTGGCTATCCAGTTTTCCCAGAACCATTTGTTGAAAAGACTGTCCTTTCTCCATTGAATGGTATTGGCACACTTGTTGAAAGTCATTTGATCATATATGTGAGAGTTTATTTTTGTCATGGAAATAGGTCCTATAATCTTTTTGCAGGTATATAAAAGATACTTCTTAACAACATGGATATACATAACACAGAAAGGCTATGCCAGATGGGCTATTATAAATAATAAAAGCATATTGCAACAAAAGAGGAAAAACAAATACCACCCAAAATGATTTAAAGCACATTTTTATTATAGATAGGTTAAGTGTGGTTTGCTGTGGCTAAAGATATATTTATAATGGATGAACAAGCTTTTCTAGATACCAAGAGGTATAATATTTTTCTTTCAATATTGAACTAACATTTCTCCGATAACAAGGAGACATCGAACTGGCTGAGCCTATTTTAAATGGGAAAAGACTTTTTTTTCCTGAATGTTGCTTTAAAGACTGGTAAATTAAATTTTTTTAAGTACTAACACTAGATTTAAGTACAGTGAAAGAAAATCAATGAATACTACAAAAACATATAATTTCTACAAAGCAGAAATATAAAGTTTTTATAATTTAAAACAGCAGCAATTTAAAAAAATTTGCTGAATTAAAACTTTACAAAATATATATATACAAAGTATCATTCCAGATGATCGTGAACTTTAAAAACAGTATGGCACAACCCCCAATCTCTACCCCAAACCTACTACTAGATGTAGCTGGCCTATAATAATTTTTACAACAATTTAAAAAATAAAAACAAAGAAATCTCCCAATTCTTTTGTGTACAAGCACAGGTTACAATGTGCTGGCTTTGATTCCATATACACAAAGAGAATTTTAAAATAAAACAAGGACTTCACATAAATAGTTTTACGTGTTATTAAGTGTGTGACCAAACAATTTAAAATAAGTACTAACAACCAAAACATATCTTGATGTAACCAGTACATACACTTTTAAAGAGTGGTAAAGATGAAAAAGGAAATAGTCTATGAAAGCCATAAGCACCTTGTTTTCAAAAGAGCACCAAGCAACACAAAGAGGCAACACGTAAGAGGTAGTGTATCACCGGCTAAGATGTATATGCCCATCAGGGACCTGAATACAGCTTAGTGTTTTGGAAAATAAGGCATATTAGACTGTGGCTTGTAATTTTTAGACAGAAGCAGTGCACATTTGGAAGCATTAGCCAGTATTGCTCCATAGTGCTCTGCATCTCCAGCTGTCTAATGGGTACTATGCACTCAGTCAAAAATAAAAGATACCCTGAAGAATTCCATATTTATACATTTTTAGTTCTAGGGAATTCTCTAAAAAAGCTGAGATCAATATAATTTTTAAAAGAATTAAATACTTTATCAATCATAGTCCTTTAAAAATGCCTTTTCTCCTTCTTAGGAGGAAGTCTGTTCTTCCTGAGATTCTTTAAGATTTAGCCAATGCTTTATTACATGCATTTCATAATGACAGTATCTTTCTGTCTCATTTCTCCCTCTGCAGCAATTACCTGGCCAACAGCCTGAATTCGGAACTCATTCAGAGACTTTACAGAAAGCATACAGAACTGCTTTCAATGTAATACTTTCGTTCAGTTTTGAGATGAGGAAGTTTTTGTACTTCAATCACTGGAAGTTGATTAGGTTCCTGGGTGTGAAAAAGAAATGTTGCCTTATGCCAGCTGCCATCTTGAATCTGTAAAATAAGAACAAAATGCTTTCATATGCATTTCATTAGCAGTCACTTTTAGTAGACAATGCCTTTCACAGATAATGTGAACTTGTTTTAAGGATTAGAGATAATGAATGGAAAGTGCCTAGAACAATGCTCAATAAATGGTAAAATTACTACTATTAATTGAAAACCTGGGTTTATTCCTTTCTTTAGGATGGCATTGTGTGTTCTAATTTTTCACTTCCAGAGGCTAAGGCCAGGCTTCTGCTTCAACTCTCTGTGAATCATTGGACCAGATATGAATTAAAAGACTGCAATATTCCTAACACGAGTAATAACCATCTGTTCTGTATTCCTTTATTTGGGACTGATTCTTCAGGATGGATATTTTTCTTTGATAAAAGGGAACGAGCTATTTCAACCTCTGCATTTTAGGTAGAAAATAAACAGAATCACCTCAGTCAGAAATAATTAAAATTATAATTATGTGCAATCATCTTCTAAGTTTCTTTTTTCTCCCCCATTCTGTAGCTCTCTATTTATATAGTTTCCCTCTTTCTTCTCTTCCTTCCACGGCTTTCTGTTTCTCTTATTAGTATATGCTCCTCTGTTTCTAATAAATTCTATGGAACAAAAACATATCATAAAATATCCGATGATTAAGATTCAACCAGACACAACAGAGAAACACAATTGATGAGTTTTGTGGAGCTGTTATTTAGGAGCTAATTCACTTATTCACAGAATTATCATGATACAAATTTTAAATTTTGAAGGAACTTTAGAGATTAAGTGATAAATTTTATTTTAAAGTTAAGGCAATTGAAGCTCATTGAAAATAAATTACTTGTCTAAAGTCATAAACTTGGTATGATAACAAAATACCATTAGATTCACTCATTAAGTCTTATTTTTTTTTGAGACAGAGTCTCGCTCTGTCGCCCAGGCTGGAGTGTGGTGGCACAATCTTGGCTCACTGCAGCCTCTCCCTCCCAGGTTCAAGCAATTCTTGCGGCTCAGCCTCCTGAGTAGCTGGGATTATAGGCGTGTGCCACCATGCCTGGCTAATTTTTGTATTTTTAGTAGAGACGGACTTTCTCTATGTTGGCCAGGCTGGTCTCAAACTCTTGGCCTCAAGTGAACCACCCACCTCAGCCTCCCTAAGTGCTGGGATTACAGATGTGCCCCACAGTACCCAGCCCCATTATTTAATTTAATTTAATTTTTTTTTTTTTTTTTTGAGACAGAGTCTTACTCTGTCGCCCAGGGTGGAATGCAGTGGTGCGATCTTGGCTCAATGCAACTTCTGCCTCCTGGGTTCAAGTGATTCTCCTGCCTCAGTCTCCCAAGTAGCTGGGATCACAGGTACCTGCCACCATGCCTGGCTAATGTTTATATTTTTACTAGAGACTGGGTTTCACCACGTTGGCCAGGCTGGTCTTGAATTCTTGACTTCAAGTGATCTGACTGCCTAGGCCTCCCAAAGTGCTAGGATTACAGGCATGAGCCATCACGCCTGGCCCCATTATTTAGTTTTAATGGAAAAAAAATAGGCTATAATCAAATACTTACTGGTGGGGCCAGTCAATATGTAATTATACCCATATTTGGTATCAGGTACAGGGATTGACAGAATGAAATAAAACTTACTTGCCTCTATAACTTGCTTTTTATGCAATAACGAGATGTAGAATTACAGCAGTGAAAACACATGAAAATATTTATCCAAATACACTATCTATTTATCATTTATCTATCTGTCTATCTATCCATCTATCCAGGTATAATTATTTCACATAGGGAATAAAAATTAAATTTACATATTAACACCTGTTTTGCATGTAAAAATCTAGGACCAATTGGTATGACACAAGTTGATAAGGTATGATATAAACAAATGATTGATTCTAAAAAATGCAGTTACAAGTCAGGCACATTAAAACTTACTACCCTTCTGTATCTGCAGTTTGTAATTAAAGTCTTACTCTAATTATCCTAATTTTATGGTTTTACCACTTTTAAGTCAGTTATACTGAACAATTCTAAAAGTGCCATTTTCTTACCTTGCAGTCATCTGAAAGCACTTTAGGTTCAAGTAGAGTATTTACTTTAAAAATCTGGCCATTCCATCCCTTGAAACCAATAGGCAATCCTGGGCCACTTGTTTGTGTGCTTGTCCACCTTGGGGTGTTTAGACAGTGAATGGTGATGATATGGGTGGCTTCCGAACTCAGTAAATGAAGGAAGTTCATCTGGACTTTCCCCACTCCAAACTCCAACTAATGTCATAGAAACAATATGCAGGTTATAACATGTGGCAATTGAGAAACTTAACAGTTCAGGAAAATCTGAGGAAAAGTCCTTCAAAGGCAGCCTCCAGAAAGCTCTTTTCCTTGGAACTGAAGTGCCAGTCAATTGTGTGCTGGTAAATGTTTAACCATGGGTTCTTGGGGGAAAAGCCATGATTTATAGTATTTCCTGACTCCTATGGTAGAAGCACTCCCAAGTGCTGGGATTACAGGCACAGCTGAATTCAGACTACCAAGGTGAGGTCACTGAACATGGCAATGGAAAGAAATGTTAACAGTTGGCTTTCCTGAGCCTGTATGGACTGGTTCCAGTTCATATCATCAGGCTACTACATATAGTATTAATAAAATAAAGATAATTTTCACATTATATAAAATGTAGTAATAATTTGCTTTTGGTTAATGCTTTAATACTTTTTTAAATAAAAATCTGAGATCTGTCTCTGCCTTTGATATTTTTTTTTGGTGAGAGTTACCAAAGATGAGTTACAAGTTGTAACAATAATCTGGTTGAGTAATTTTAAGTCTGAGAGCCTTAAAGGACAAGGACAGAACCCTATTCTTTGTGTTGCCAGCCCCTAATGTAGTTTCATTCACACAGTGATCGTTAATAAATATTTATTGAATGAATGAATGAAATTCATAAACAAGTGTTAACTAATACAATGAACAATACAGGACAGTATCTGAGTTAAGAAAACTGCACATTCCCCAGGCTTGAACAGAAAGGCAGATCTTCCTATAGCTCCAGACATTATTATTATTATTTTAGCATTATTCAAGCAGGGATATGGT